AATTGGCAGCGGCAGGATTCCGGCAGCCGGAGGCACCAGTCGAGCAGCAGCAGCAGCAGCAGTTCTGGGGCGCCTGTTGCGGCGGGCCCCACCGCCGACCGGGACGTTCCTTAGGGTGCCGCCGTGGGTCCAATACCTCCGGCAGTCCTTGCAGAAGTGGCGGGGCTGATAAATGCTGTAGTTGTTGTAGTAGCAAAACTTGGTATTTGATGAGTTGCACCGGCTGCAGTCCCGATGGGGTGGTGGAGGGTAACGGGGACGGCTGCCTGTCTCGGGGCGCCGCCTCGGAGGCGGCGGAGGAGCTGGATTCATCGGGTTCTCCATAGGTTATTGTTATTATTTGTTTTATGTTTTTATTGGTTTAATGTTGTGTGTGCTCTTTTCTGCGTAAAAATAGTGCCGTTTATATAGAGGTTTGATATGAGTGAGAATGTGTATGAAGTGCATGTGTGTTGTGGACTTGGGACGCTTCATCAGATTATATGATTTGAATGTTATGGATATTTTTTGTAATCTGCTTCTCGAATATTATTATGAGAATCACAATAAAAATGAAATTTTTTACATACACAGCAGTGCAGAATTGGGAGAGCTGGATTTCTTCTAGAAAAATTGCACTATTCGTCCACTAACTGTACTCTCGTTGCATTTTCGTCCTTTAATTGCTTTCGATTTACAATTGGTACACTAACTTTTTTTTTTGGTAATTTTAGTACAAAATAACATTTCGGTGCTCATATTCGCCGGAATAGCTGATGTGACGCACAGTCAAAACAGAATTTTCATTCTCGGCGTGATGTGGCACGCCCAAAATAAGGAAAAATTTCACTATTTGTTCACTAACTTTATATTCGTTGCACTTTCGTCCTTTAATTGTTTCCGGTTTACAAAATCAGAAAAATTAAAAAATTCAAAATTCAAAATAAAAAGAAAAATCCTTAAATTCCACATGTGAAGACATGTGGATTAAAAATTTTTAAGAAAAAGAATATTAATTGATAAAAAAATTATTTTGTTTAACGATTTTAAACAAAATCTTATTTTTTATTTAATAAAAATACAATTTTTTATTAAAGTTGAAATAATTAATAAAATACTAAATGAAAAACAAAATAAATATTTAATGAGAAATAAATATGTTATATAATGATTAAACACTTAATAAAAAACAAAATAATTATCATTTTTTAATTTTTTATTTAATAAAAAATGAAATATTTAATGAGTAATAAACATTTAATAAATGTTTTTTTATTTAACAGTCAAATATTTAATAAAAAAAAGAAATATTTATCAATTTTTGTGTAATGAAAAAATATTTTTTTTATTTAAATAATAAAATAAAATTTTTGATGATCAAATAAAAAAGAAATATTTAATAAAAAAGAAATATAAAACGAAATAAATATTTCATGAGTAATAAATATTTTCTGTTTAATGGTTAAATATTAAATAAAAAATGAAATATTTAATAAAACCTTTTTTTCTTTTTTTATTAAATACTTAATCATATATAACATATTTATCACTCATTATAAATTTATTTCGTTATTAAATATTTCGTTTTTATTTAATCATTAAATATTTTATTTTTTATTAAAGTAAAAAAATATTTTTTATAAACAAAAAAAAATATATTTTTTTCTTTTTTCATTTGATTTTAATTTTTTTATTTTCTGATTTCGTAAAATGGAAACAACTAAAGGACGAAAGTGCAACGAATGTAAAGCTAGTGGACAAATATTACAATTTTTCCTTATTTTGTTCCATGTGTAAAAACAGTTGGGCCCAATTCGTGCAACATCACGCCGAGAATGGAAATTTCGATCTGACTGGACGCCACATCAACTATTTCGACGAAAATTAGCAGCAGAATGTCATTTTGAACTAAAATATAT